CCCGTGGCCACGTGCCCCTCACCCTGCTGGGGTGAGGATGAGGAAGGGATCCCGAGCTGAGAAGGTGATGGTGTCCCCAGGGAGGGCCCAGAGCCCGCGGGGAGCAGGGGCGGGATGGGGCTGGTGGTTTTGGAGGCTTGGGGAAGGCAGGGGAAAAAACCAGTCCAAACATTGGGATTCCTGACATTCTCACACGTCCCCGGGGGCCTCTGCTCGCCGGGCTCTGCTGGTGAGGAGGTGTCTGGGGCTTCACAGCGGGTTCTGCAGGCAGGGGGTTGGTTTTTTGGGGTGTCCTTCCCCTCCCCTGGGGGAGGGAGGGGGGTGGTAGGGGAGCAGGTGGGGTTGGGGCACCTGCTGAGAGTGGGGTGATACTGGGGGGGGAGCTGAGAGGACAGGGGACCAGGAAGGTTTGGGAGCTTCTTTGCAGTGGTTCTGACTGCAGGAGGTGGGACATGGAAGGCAGAGGAGCCTGAGGGGTCTCTGTGAACCCACGTCGGGCAGGTCAGGGTGGTGGAAGGGGCTGAGAGACCCTGTCCTGGTGCCCTCCTGCCCCGAGGGGTCCGTGGTGGGCACCACTGGGCTGCTTTGCAAGGTTCCTTTGCAAGTTCTGCCCTGGGCTGGGAGGCAGAACTGACGGGAGGACAAACAGCAGGAGCTCGTGGCTCTCCCTGGGCTCCTCCATCACCTCCCTGGGGCGAGGAGGCTCTGGCTCCTGGGGGTGTTGGGCTTCCCAGGGTCCCTGGGTGGCTCCTTCCCCCTAATCCCCCTCTCTTTGGAGGGGGGAGGGAGCCTTGTTGGTGGCGTTAGGAGCTCGTGACTCTGGGGAGCTTTGAATTAATCACCTCAGCTGTGGTTTTTGGGCAGAGCTGGGGGGGGGAAGCTCCGGGCAGGGGGGACCTTCCTTGGGCAGGTTTGTTGATGAGACCCACCAACCCTGCCCTGCCTGGTTCACCCTCCTGGACACAAACCCCTCCATCCCCAGGCAGGGGAGGCTCCTTCCTCCTCTGGGGGGGTTGTTCCCACGCCCAGCTGGACCCTCTGGGGCTGTTATCAGGTCTCCCCTCCCCAGGGGACACACCTCTTGCGTCACCCTCCTTATCTCCCCCTTGGCCTGGGTCCCAGCTGAGGGCTCCTGAAGGTGACTTTTGAGACCAGGTAGGAGAAGACATAGGCAAACCCAAGCACCCTGTTGAAGGCCTCCTGTCCTTTCTGGGTAGGTCCCAGGCTCCTCTCCTACCATGGAGACACTCCTGGAGTTGGGAAGCGTGATGGAAACCCCCTTTGGGTCAGGCAGGTCTGGAGAACTTTTCCTGGGCAGTGCTGGTGGGAAGGCAGCAGGGATGGTGGAAGTGCCTTTTGGGGTCCTTTGAACCTGGGTTTCCTGGCAGCTGTTGTGGTGGAGGTTTGCCAGCCCCGTGGTGTGGGTTGTAGGGTGCCCAGGAGCAGGGTGGTGGAGAGGGGACAGTGCTCAGCCCTGGCCCAGGAGGGTCTCAGCTGCTTGTCCAGGAGGGGCTCCTGGTGGAAAAGGTTCCTCAGGAGAGCCCTGTGTGGTGAAGGGGCTGGTGGTCAGCAGAGGTCCTTGGGGGTGGGTGAGGGACACGAGCCCCCCAAGGTGCTGGCCACCAGTCAGGTCTCCCAGTCAACCCATCACTTAAAGGAGGACACCAGAAGGGTGGCACTGCCACTTCAGGAGCAAAGGTGGCTGTCCCAGAGGAGTGACCCTGTGCTGCTCTGGGGTCTGCAGCTGGGTAAGTGAGGTGCTGGGGACCTCACAGCCCTGTCCTCATGCCCCCCACAAGTGCCAGCCTGGCCTGTCCCTGCCCCAGCTGCACCCTTTGGCAGCCAGAATTCCCAGGGAAGACCATCATTGCCTTCTCTTCTGGGTCCCCAGGCTCTGCCCTGGTGCTGAAGGGGGCTCAGAAGGGGAGGGGTCGCACAGGCTGCCCGAGTTGCTCCTTCTCTAGCCAGGGTTCCAAAGGGAGGGACCCTCCATCCATCTGGCAGAATTCCTGGCTGGATTTATTCCTGCTCGTCTTGGTATGAAGGGGATTTGCAGAGGAGCTGCAGTTGCACTTGGTGGGGAGGGGGGCTTGAAATCCCCAGCTCAGGGGTTTGTGGTCCAGGGAGTGACCTTTCCCCAGCACATGGGGGAGGAATAAGGGGCAGGGTCTTCTCCTGGGCAAGTGCCCCAGGAAGGGCTTTGTTATCTGAGCTGGGGGAGGTTGGGGGCTTGGCTGGACCTTCTCCTCCACCTCCTTGGCAATGTCTCTGGCACCCAGGGCTGGCACAGCCCCCAGGGGCTGGGGGCTCCCACTGCAGGGAGGCAGATAAAGAAAGCACTTTGTGCCAACAGAGCCCAGCCCAGCTGGGCCAGGGCAGGA